TCAGCAGTTTATATATGTTCTGTTGTAAATTTTCAGCTCTCAATTTAGGTCTGCAACCAGATTGTCTTTTCTAGCTTCCAATGATGGGTCCGACAAGCCGTGAATCAGATGTGAACCTCAAGACCGGTGTTTAAGTTCTTACTCTCATTCTCTTAGGTGAATTTGTAAGTGGCACATAGATTAGAGGCTGATGACAAATGATTGATATGAAGTTAAACCAACCGAGGGTGCTGCTTGATGAAATTCTACGGCTTCCTTCCATTTTGTTGTTTGAATTTGTTAATTCATTCACTTGGTTAGTGGATATATCTGTCACTTATTGTTTTATTTTTCCAGCTCCAATCCTCGAAGTTTTTTTGTATCTCCTTGCTTCAACAACACTAATCTTCTAGATATGATTTTCAATCTAATTTCATACTGCTTTTTAGTCTCAATCAGGGTGAGAGATAGGCGATTAAACCTAATACCTGCGTCCCCAACTCTTCAACTCTGCCAAAAGCCGCTCCGCCTCTCATAGGTGGTACTCTAGCCGTGAACGCCTCCTTCTCGTAGCTTCCGAATCGATAGGTGAGAGCCTCATCGGGGTGATGACCACCACAACACACTGTTTCCTTCCCATAGCTTTCAGATCGAGGGATGATAGCCTCGCTAAGGTGGGATACAGCCTTGCGTACTGTTTCCTTTCCGTTGATCTCGTTGACGGAGAACTCGATATCCTCCGCTTCCCTGGTTTCACCGGCGTCGACGTAGGCCACATCGTTATCGCGACGCGCTCCGCAAGATGCGTCACTGCGTTCCGACTCATTCAGCCAACCGGTCAACCTGCTGCTTTAGGGCCCTTATCTCTCGAGTCATGGCGCGACATTCCGCAGTCATGCTCTTTGTCGAGGCCGCGTAGGCTTTGGCGCAAGCACCCACGTCCAGAACCAAGCTCTGATACCAATTATATGGAAACGTATCCCACGTTCCAGGGTTTTGCTTGTAACTCACAAGCGAGAGCACGACGTAAGTGTCGAAAACCTATTTTGTTTATTGATTGATTAAATCGGACTAATGCCGTAGTTACAATATATAGGCGACTAAACCTAATACGTAACCCTAGCTAACCCCGAACCCTACTTCTACTCTAGCTAACTCGGCCGAACCTAGAACAAGACTCGTAATCGGCTACTACCTACTAAGCCCACACACTTTAAGTTAACCCAAAACACATAACCCAACTTCATACGTGCCGCTACCCCATATTAACTACTAACATGCTACAGGGGCGGAGCTACACATAGTCTCGCCCCCCCCCCCCCCCCCCCCCCCCCGAGAATTTTGAAAGTTACGTATAAACTATATCGTTATCTGAAAATTTCGTATAAATTAAAGAGCATATGAAAATATTAGGTGTTCAAAAGTGGAGCAAGAAATGAGGTTAGCCCAACGGATGTGAATAATATTATTCATTCTTGAGATACAGGGTTCGAAACCCACTACATGTAGGAGTTATTTTGTTTTTGTCTTTTCAGTTTTAGTAACTCCAATGTTTTTTCATTTCCGTTAATTTCAATATAATTTCAGTTTTTTTGTTTCAAATTTAAGTTTTATATATCTGGTTCTAAGAAATTAGATCTAAATTCTTCAAATTTCAATTAAAAAAAATACTTTTGAGTTACTCTAATAATAAAAAAAATGTGGTTATACTAATATTAAAATCTAGCTCCGCCCCTGACATGCTAGACTCACTAAACCCCCAACCAATGCAACGTAACCCTACGACTAACCCAATACCTTTGGTCTCATCAGAAAGGAAAAGGATGTGTGAAGTATCAATATTGTTGATTGCACATGTCTCTTACACTTTGAAAGTTTTTTACCGAAAAAATATGGCATGGTACTTGCTTTCTGTATATAATTTCCAACTATTTTCATCACCACTATACTGCTTTAACAATGCTAAATCTCCCGCGGCGTAGCCGTGGGTATTAATACTAGTTGATTATTAAACGCTAGATCGACTTGGAGGGGCAATGAGTTTATCATGTTATTTGTTTTGTTTCCTTTTAATGCCTCTTGGAATGGTTAATAGGAGATAGGAGCTTGAGAAATTTTACAATGCTATATAGTATTGGTGCTATAGGATTTTGCCTTTATGGTACAACTTAAAATTGTACATTTACGTTATGGTACAACTTCAGATTGTACCTATACTTTTTGTACAAATTCTTTTAAGATACAACTCGAACTTGTACTTTTATGTGATGGTACAACTTCAAGTTGTAAAGTTGTACCATAACATAATTGTACAAATTGCTTTATGGTACAACCTAAACTTATACATCTAATGTTATGGTACAACTTTAAGTTGTACATTAAAGCACCAATAGTCCAATACTATATAGCATAGTAGAAGTGCTCATAGGAGCTTCAGGGTTCGCAGGTGACAGGAGCACAGCGGCGGGATGTCAGCGGCAATGCCTCTTGGGATCGAAGATGGTTTCAGTGTGCAAGGAGAGGTTTGGCGACATATACAAGTTGCCTATACAACCGTAGGTGGTTTATTCTAATGGATGAGACGCAACTGGCGTGGATTCAAGGAGCTCTTCAGATGGCGGCAATGAGAAGGTGGGCTATTCCTAAAGGTTGTGTCAAGAAGAGTGGTGACCGCTTTATCCACGTCGGACGAGGGTGGAATCGCTCTGGGTACTATCTGCAGGTATCGAAAAAGGCTCCAAGTGGAAGAGTCTTCAAAGTCATCGTCCCAGCAACTAATACTACCATATGGTGGTAACAGTTGATTAAACTTCTTCAAAATTTCTATGCTGCGGAGCGTGAATTTGATACAGCTTGTGCTCCCTCCTCCCAACCGCGCAAAACATACTCAGGGTTCTCATACGCTGACGCGGTGAAAAGCAGGGGTTTCAGTGGGAGTGGAAGCTGTTCTATCAAAACGTGTAGTGGTGAGCAGTATTTTGAAATTAGTGAGGTTGGAGTTGACGAACGGAGGGACCTTTTGGGTAGGAGCCTTGTGGTTCGGTTTAAGTCGAAGGGATCGGAGGTCTTTACGAGGAGCTCTGTGCCAGGTTTTAAGCAATGGGCAAATCAGTTTTGGGCTATTGATGAGAATTATGGTTTCGAAGAACAGTGTGATGGCAGGTGGCTGCTTGTTTGTCCGACCATATCAGAAGCACTACGCATCAAGGAACTAAGCCACTTGCCCTATCGTGGTTTCAAAATTGAGTTCTCTTTGGGAAGAAGATGACGGAAGGTATGACTGGTCCTCTCAAGATGGAGTGTGGTTAATGGCGTATGGCATCCCACACCATTTAAAAAGTGTCGAGCTATGTATATCTATCGGCAGCTTCTGTGGAAAATTCGTTGAAGTAGATTGGACCTGTTGGAGCTCTTCGTTCGTTAGAATCAGAATCCAGCCAAATGAAACAATCCCTGAAGAAATTCCGCTCTGCTTCGGATCTCAAGTTTTCCCAATCAAGATTGCGAAGTCGCCGGTGACAATCCGGCTTTTGCTTGTTTGGATGGAAATCGGATTGGCGGTTGGAAGGCGAAGGGTCTCTCAATGGGCTAAGATCATGTCCCTTGGTTAATCTCAGCCATTAAACCTCATTAAAATTTAATGGTTCAGATCTATCTAGTTTAATGAAGGGTAAGGTGGTAATTACATAACTAATTTATTTAATAATTTAAAGAAACATTGTGTTGTTCTCCACCCGTCGCACCGTCGTTTCTTTTTCTAGGAAATTCTCCCGGTAGCGGGATTTTTGTGTCCCCAATCCGCGCTGCCGTTTCTTTTCCAGGGGAATGATTTTTGTGTCCCCAAATACTTTTGTGTCCCCAACCCGCGCTGTCGTTTCTTTTCTTTCCAGGGGAATGATTTTTGTGTCCCCAACTCCCAACAGCTACGGCCAGAGAGAGAGAGAGATTTGTTTGGTCGGCCGGAGGAAATTTTCCGACGACCAGCGACGGTGAAGAGGATTTTCCGGCAATAGTATGTTTTGTGTTGTTTGTTGACCTATTTTGTAATGTTTGTATCGATTCGGTTTGTAATGTTTATCATTTTTGTTAGTCATTTTTTTAGTGACATTTTGTACGATTAGTATGTTTTGTATTGTTTGTCGGTTTATTTTGTAATGTTTGTAAACTTTGTTATTTTGTAATGTTTGTCGGTTTCTTTTGTAATGTTTGTAAGCTTTGTTATTTTTGTGCACCATTTTTATCATTTTTGTCAACCATGTTTGTAATATTTTTTATGTTTAAAAAACAATCTGGTTGACTTTTGGATGAAACTCCTCTATATAGGGATGAAGCCTCTAAAGCCAACCCGGGTGTTTTTCCAGTTTGTATGTTTTGTCGGTCTAGTTTGTCATTTTTGTTCACCATGTTCGTAATGTTTGTATGTCTAAAAAACAACCGGGTTGACTTTGAGAGGGAGCCCCTCTGTATATGAATGAAGCCTTCAAAGTCAACCCGGTTGTTTTTTAATTTTTGTATGGTTTGTATTGTTTGTCGGTGTAGTTTATATTGTTTGTACCGTTCATATTTTGTAATGTTTGTAAATCTGTTTGTATGTTTGTAATGTTTGTACTGTTTGTAAGTACGGTTTGTATACTTCGTAATTTTTCATAATACCCAATTTACCCCTCCCACTAATTAAAAATCTCTTCCCACTTTTTAACCGTTGGATTGCAGTGTACAGATCTAATGGCTAGAGGGGCTTAGTCAAAGTGACCCCCTTAGTCATGGATCCTCTCTCTCGCTCAATGACCGTTCCATCTCCACCTCTGGAGTCTCAAAACTCGCATGATCGGAACTCTACATTGCATGCTTCTAGAAGAGTGAAAATAGTGCAAGGATATATCTGTCGTGAACAGGGAAGGAAGTTCCAAAAGAGGTATAAGGAGCAGAGATGTGTCCGTAAGGAAGGTCCCTCCTTGCCCATGTCTAGAGTTAGTGGGCTTGTAGCATCTCCATCAATGTGTAACCCACTGCCCAGAAGCCCATCGCCTTCTTTTTCTTCAACTTTAGTCCCCTTCACTATCCAACCAACTTTCCAACCCCGAACCCATCCTTTTCTCCCCTTCGTTGTCTTTTTCCGATCCTCTGGCCAGAGAGCCTATCTATGGAGCCCCTCCTCTGCCTCAACAGTCATCTCGGTTTAACCCCTACAACACCATCATCTTCCCATACCTTAAGCCCTAAATCTTTTGACCCATGGGTAAACCTTAGCCCCACTTTTGAACTGCCTTTGTCCTGCTCACCTGTTTCTCTCCTTCCATCATCTCCCGCCTCGTCCCCCCGCCCCTGGGCATCTTGTAAATGAGGACGATCTTCCGTCAGACATCATGGAGTAGAGAATTTAGGTAAGTTATATAGGTGCATAGCCGCGTGCATAACTTACTTATAATCATTGGATAGCATAAATTATGAAAATATATGGTTTATTTTCTTACAAGTTGGGGACACTCCCTGTTCGTTATTTGAGACTTCCCTTACTGGCAGGGAAGCTCATTATAAAAGCTTGTATGCCCTTGATTGAAAGAGTTACTAGACGAATTAGTGGCTGGAAGTCAAAGTCCTTGTCTTATGCTGGTAAGTTCCAGCTGGTTATGTTTGTATTGTATAGCCTCACACAGTTTTGGATGTCTATCTTTATCCTCCCTAAGGCTGTTATTAGAACTATTGAAAAACTGTGTAGTGACTTCCTTTGGTGGGTAGGTGATGGGGCTAGGAAAAAGGCAGTGGTGGCCTGGTCTAGAATCACTTATCCAAAAACAGAGGGTGGTCTGGGACTCAGAGACATGGATTCATGGAACTTTGCTTGTGTTATGAGACACATTTGGGCTATCCTACTTAAACAAGGATCTCTCTGGGTTGCTTGGATTTGGGGATATAGAATCAAGAGGATGGATTTCTGAGCTGTAACTGCTAAGGCAAGTTCCTGGCTATGGCTAAAGTTGTTAAAGTGTAGAGACAAGCTGAGACCCTGGATCTCTGTGGATGCTGAAGGTGTTTATTGGAAAGGAGTTCAAATGGAGAAATTCAGCATAAAAGAAAGTGTGGGAGGAAGTCGGACCAAAGAGAGGTCCTGTTTCTTGGAGCTCTCTAGTTTGGAAAGGAACATGTATTCGCAGAAATCAGTTCCTAGTTTGGCTTGTTGTGAATGATTATATAGAAATCATGTATTCCCTGTTTCTTGGTGGTCAGGGTTGCGCCTTCTATTCTTGCTCCATGGAGACGAGGTCTCATGTTTTTGCTGAGTGTCGAGTGTACAGACAACTGCTGATCAATGGCTTGAAGAACTTCAATGGGCATCCTTGAACTTCAATAAGAAAACTACTATCTCTCAGGTTGGGGGTGGGTGGGGGGGGGGGGAGTGATTTGGCATGCCTTGATTGCTACCATTTGGCGAGAAAGATGTAATTTGGGGGACAAGTGTTGGATATGAATGAACGGATCCTATTGGTTAAATGCGAGCTCAGACTGTTTCTTGATCCAGTGCTAGTTGCGAAGTTTTCTAATTTACAAGGGTTTATAGTTGATACCTTCTGTTTTTTGTTAGTTGAGATAGAGCAGTAGTTTGTTCTCCTTGTCTATAGGTCTGAAATGCTCAGTTGGCAGAGCTTGTTGCCAGCAATTGTTCCTTTGATGAAATATAAGAATCAACCAATTCATAAAATAATAATAATATTAGTGATAGATAGTGCTAACTCATTATATAAAATAAATTACTTAATTTCTCTCTCACCTTTAAGAAACTACCAAAATATTCTACCAGGAAAAAACAAATAAACTGCCAAAATAACCGCAAAATAATGATGGGAGGGTTTTTAGGTGGCAGTTTTGAGAAATTAATTTGATAAGTAAAAAAGAACAAAGAGTCGAGCCTTTCTTGCTACAATTAAGGCCACCAAAAGTTGGGCCGCTAAAGATATTATTGGGCAGTTATTTCTGTGAGTTTTATGATTGGTTAAGGGGTGCTGATGTGGAAGCATAAATGAACATAAAATTTGAAATGAAGAAGCGTTTAATGAGAAACTCCATTATGTATTCTTTAGATTAGATTGCACAAAAAGAATGAGAATATCATCACATAACCGAACCAATGAGCTCATAATATGGTCAAGATTTAAATAATTTTACGGATAAAATATTCAATTGAGAATCGTTAAGAAAAATCTTAGTTGAGATAATTTATTAAATAATGAAGTCAAATCTTCCGGCCAACCGGTCGGGAAGAAAAGGAATATGAACATAGAGTAATGGTTGATTTTAACGAAGAAGAAAAATAAAATGGTAAGGTGCTTGGTTTAACGGGAAATCCTCCCATTATATTATGGAGGTTCTCTAACAAAAGGTACTTCATTCTAAAATTCGAGACTTCTGAGTAATTTTAGGGAGGACCTTTTTGTCTTTTCAAATCAAATAATTTTAAAATTATTCTTTATATACAATTTGTCTTACAAAAAAGAAGAAACGAGCTACAAATAAAAAAAATCAACGTACTCTATTTTTGTATACTGTTAAGTATTATTATTAATATTATGATAATGAGTTTTAACAAAAATAAAATATTAGCATAGCGATGAGCTAATAGGATTAGAATTGAGTGGGGATCAACTTCATATATTAGTGAGAGGATTCCTAATCGATCATATCTTATTTGTTTTAACTCAAAATTTTAAGTTCTTTATATAGAAAAATAAAATTGGTTAAACTCTATAAGATGACACCCATATTGATATAGTTTGGGAGAATCCTCCCATTATATTATGGAGGTTCTCTAACAAAAGGTACTTCATTCTAAAATTCGAGACTTCTGAGTAATTTTAGGGAGGACCTTTTTGTCTTTTCAAATCAAATAATTTTAAAATTATTCTTTATATACAATTTGTCTTACAAAAAAGAAGAAACGAGCTACAAATAAAAAAAAATCAATGTACTCTATTTTGTATATTGTTAAGTATTATTATTAATATTATGATAATGAGTTTTAACAAAAATAAAATATTAGCATAGCGATGAGCTAATAGGATTAGAATTGAGTAGGGATCAACTTCATATATTAGTGAGAGGATTTCTAATCGATCATATCTTATTTGTTTTAACTCAAATTTTTAAGTTCTTTATATAGAAAAATAAAATTGGTTAAACTCTATAAGATGACACCCATATTGATATAGTTTGGGAGAAAAGAAATGTTGTTCTAAGAGAATTGACACTATGGGTAGTTCATTAATTAATTTATTTTTAATCTATAAGTGATCAAGTTTTGTGTTACCGGCTAAGATTGCTTAATTTATTAATTTTTATAGAGTATTTCAATATGAGATGACTAATTATGAACCTAAAAAGGGTACAAAATGTATTGATGGTAAATATGAGATGACTAATTATGAACCTATAGGAGAAACTATTGATGGTAAATATAAAAGTTTTATCAATGAAGATGAAGCCACATGGAGAAATTATGCTTTTGACGGCAAAGCAATCAGAAACAAGTCCACAAAAAAAATTTCACAAATTTTTTACAACAAAGAGTAAACTAAATGATATTTCTATTCAATGTTTTGGAAGTGGTTTACTTGCACGCAGTTGTGTATTTTTGCTTTTGATAAAGATTTTTGTCCATGAATAATCAATTTGTCATAAAACGATTTACGTTCTTTTTTATATTTTTAGTAATTGAAATTTTTTGGTTCGTTCATAAATCCTAATAAAACTGAACTTGATTGAGCAATTATTATTATTGTTTTCATAAAAAACTATTATTATTATTATTATTATTTATACTAATATAATTCATCCGGCCAACGGGCGGGTCCAAATCTAGTAATAATGAGTTGGAGTGATAATAGGGTGATTGAAAGTTTCACTGCCCTTAGGTTTAGAGAGAGGGAAGTAATAGGCCGGTGTGTAAAAAACGAAAGAAGACTCAGTAGTTCTAGCTCATGTGGCATGCTGATTTGGAAAATAATGAATTTCCACCATTAGTGTTTAGGACGGAAATTTGGATGGAAGCACTTAAACGGTACTTAAGTGATATTCAGTGCACTAATTAGAGTTAAGTGGTATGATATCACCAAATGTAAAACTTAAGTGGCAGCGTGTGTATATTTTACCCTTGATTTGGTGTTAAATTGAATCTTGATATGTTCTCAATTAATAAGTACCCACCCTCAAAATCTCACACCGCCTCTTTTGGTTGGGACAACCTAGGATCCTTTTCAAGACTGCGAGGCAAAACTCTTGCAATATCCCATCTGCCATGATCTCCTCTTCTTAACAAGGATGAAATAGAATTTAATTGTGTATCATTATCAACTGGTTTATAATCCGGCCCGTTGGCCGGAATGTTTATATTTGATTTTTTATACTTTTTATGTTACAATTAAAGTCTATCAACCCGTTTAATTTTATTGACAATCTTTCGATCGAGATAATACATAAAGAAAGAATATATAGGTCTAACATTCAGAGAAATATCATCATCATTTGAGAAAATAAAATATAAAAATGTATAATTGATCTAATTTTTATAATGATAATTAAGCCAAGTTAATATGTTATTGGTTATTTGATTGTTAAGAAAGATAGAGTATAAAAGCTCACTAGAATTCCCACACGACCCATAGATAGTTTGAAACTGAATCTAAAACCTCACAATCCTACGTAAATGGCCCAATGCTCTCATTTTGGGGGCAATATGGCACTAATAAAAAAATGGAGAGTTGTAGGTTCAAGTCAACTATATACTAACAGCTCAGCTAAGAGTGGACCATCAAAACTTGAGAGCAAATGACAAAATTGGGTTACGCCCAATATACTAATAGACTCGATCAAAGTAATATGACGCAAAATTAGACCGTCCTTATCTATCAATTCCACTAGGTTGAATAAAGAATCGACCTACTTCATTAAATCAATCAACAAGTACTCGTTTTAATTACTCGTTTTAAGATAGAAATAGGTTGTGATAGCAGCAAAAACCATAAACCTAATGATTAGTAAGCTTTTATCACTAAATCAAGTATTTTGGTCGATACATTATATTGCATCTGCTGCAGTCCCCTCCACCGTGGACAACTTATATATTTGCATCGTGTCACTACATCTGAAAATTTTGGAAACACCGAGAAGAAAAGATACTGTGTTAGCTCAATTTTAATCCAAAGCAAAGCTAAAAACACTTCTAATAGTATAAGTATGACGGTTTACATTTGGAAACATGTATCCTTCAATCCATCATGAGCACACATTCTCAAAAATGAATCATGTATTTATAAAATAAAAAATCATCTGAAAGACCCTAAAACATATGAAGATACAGCTTAACACTAATTACAGCCTTACAGGTAATATGGATACTTGGAGAGCATTAATACAAAGACATGGGGGAAATAATCTACAGCAAAAGGAACCACAAAAATGGCAAGAGAGAAAAATGAATTCCAAGACATGCAGGGATGAAGGTAGTTGCTGCTCCTAGTTCGCTAGACATAGGTGGCTGTAGATTTACCAAGAACATGATCCCCATTCAACTCTTCGTCACAATATACAACCTGATTGTCCAAACGAAATGTCTCCTCAAACCAACCAAAAATATGGCTCCCAGAGTTGAACAATCTATAAGCCAAATACAAACTTCACAGAACAAAGTTCCTTAACAACAACCTAGACATTAGAGATCAACTATTACCTGCATACAAAGGAACAAACAAACAGCAAAGCTAGCATAAGCAAATCATCGTAGATTTTAATAGATTTTATAAAATTAAAGCGGATAGAGGAGAGCATGGTAATAAGATCTCCAAACATTATAGCCAGATTGAGAATTCAGCAGCAGTAGCAAGCCAATCAATGACCATAACAAAAGGAGAAACCACCCACCGAGACTTCAATAAAAACTATGCTTCAGCAGCAAAAAGGATCAACAACAATGAGAAGAAGATTCCTGGGAAAAAACCATTAAGGAGGATTCAGCAAAAGAACATAGATGCTTCAAACAAACTTAATATTCCATTCCACCCAGTAAGTGCGCAGATGTAATAGGAGAAAACTTTTGGCTAGAAACAAACAAATTTTCAAAGTAGCACATGTCAACAACTGGGGTAGAGTAAGATTTACCCTTGTATTCAGGAAAATACACCCTTCATCATCATTTAGTGGTGGACATACGACAAACTCCCTCAATAACTTACTTAAAAGGATAACATGTTATAAGTAGAAATAATAATAAAAGGGCAACATTAAGGTCATTCATCATACTTCTCAAAACCTGGCTTTGGCTTCTAGCTTGGCAAATCCGTACCCTTCATTGTTTGTCAATGCTAGAAGGATTGAGTAAATAACTCAAGAAGTCGAAGCAGAGCATCACAAAAAGTGGCCCGACACAAAAACCTCCTGAAAATAGCACAAAGAAACCCATCTAACTAATTAAAAGGAGAAAAACGAATCTACAGGAAGGATAGAATATCTCATCAGGGAGGCAGAGAGATCAAATAATAAACCAAAAACACCCCAAGCACATTGGAATTCTGAATTGCTGGGATTCGAAGATCTTTGACAGCAAACCTGGGATGGGTATCTTGACCTAAAAAAGACCATATAAGCTTTTGTGA